AGGTCCCCCCGTGTGGTTCTTGGATTTTTGCTCACCATTCTTGTGATCATTTTGACCCCACGGGGTGAGATCTTGCATGGAGCCCCAGATCGAGGGAGATTATCAGTGGTCTTGTATGTCTTCCATTTCCTAATAATTGCTCCCACAGTTGATTTCTTCAAACCAAGCTGCTTACCTATTGCAGATTCAGTCTTCCCAGCCTGGTGCAGGTCTACAATTTTGTTTCTGGTGTCCTTTGACAGCTCTTTGGTCTTGGCCATAGTGGAGTTTGAATCTCCGTCCCAGTCTCAAATCTCTGGAAGACTGAAACAGGTTTTCCTCAAGAATTTCCTTGTATTTAGCGCCATCCATCATTCCTTCAATTCTGACCAGTTTCCCAGTCCCTGCCGATGAAAACATCCCCACAGCATGATGCTGCCACCACCATGCTTCACTGTTGGGATGGTGTTCTCGGGGTGATGAGAGGTGTTAGATTTGCGCCAGACATAGCATTTTCCTTGATGGCCAAAAAGCTCAATTTTAGTCTCATCTGACCAGAGTACCTTCTTCCATATGTTTGGGGAGTTTCCCACATGCCTTTTGGCGAACACCAAACGTGCTTATTTCTTTCTTTAAGCAATGGCTTTTTCTGGCCACTCTTCCGTAAAGCCCAGCTCTGTGGAGTGTACGGCTTAAAGTGGTCCTATGGACAGATACTCCAATCTCCGCTGTGGAGCTTTGCAGCTCCTTCAGGGTTATCTTTGGTATTTTTTTTGCCTCTCTGATTAATGCCCTCCTTGCCTGGTCCGTGAGTTTTGGTGGGCGGCCCTCTCTTGGCAGGTTTGTTGTGGTGCCATATTCGTTCCATTTTTTTATAATGGATATAATGGTGCCCCCTTGGGATGTTCAAAGTTTTGGATATTTTTTCATAACCCAACCATGATCTGTACTTCTCCACAACTTTGTCCCTGACCTGTTTGGAGAGCTTCTTGGTCTTCATGGTGCCGCTTGCTTGGTGGTGCCCCTTGCTTAGTGGTGTTGCAGACTCTGGGGCCTTTCAGAACAGGTGTGTATATATACTGAGATCATGTGACAGGTCATGTGACACTTAGATTGCACACAGTTGGACTTTATTTAACTAATTATGTGACTTCTGAAGGTAATTGGTTGCACCAGATCTTATTTAGGGGCTTCATAGCAAAGGGGGTGAACATATATGCACGCACCACTTCTGTTATTTATTTTGTAGAAGTTATTTTTTTCATTTCACTTCACCAATTTTGACTATTTTGTGTATGTCCATTAAATGAAATCCAAATAAAAATCAATTTAAATTACAGGTTGTAATGCAACAAAATAGGAAAAACGGCAAGGGGTGTCACGTACGTTAAGAGACGGGTCGGACCAAGGTGCAGTGTGAAAGGCGTACATGTTTATTTAACTAATAAACACACGACACAGTAACCAAAATAACAAACTTAACCGTGACGGTCCAAAGGGCTAACACACAAGCCTAAACAGGAACACAACAAGATCCCACAACACTGGCAGGAAAACTGGCTGCCTAAGTATGATCCCCAATCAGAGACAACGAGCGACAGCTGCCTCTGATTGGGAACCACACCCGGCCAAACATAGAAATACAAACCTAGAATATTCACACCCTGACCAAACTAGCTAGAGTTCTATAGGCGAGGAGCAGGAACAGGCCGGGCCGGACTGGCGACGCGCACCACTGGCTTGGTGCGAGGAGCAGGAACAGGCCGGGCCGGACTGGCGACGCGCACCACCGGCTTGGTGCGAGGAGCAGGAACAGGCCGGGCCGGACTGGAAACACGCACCACTGGCTTGGTGCGAGGAGCAGGAACAAGCCGGGCCGGACTGGGAACACGCACCACTGGCTTGGTGCGAGGAGCAGGAATAGGCCGGGCCGGACTGGGAACACGCACCACTTGCTTGGTGCAGGGAGCAGGTTCGGGGCGTACCGGACTGGGAACCGGCGCTGGAGGTCTATGACTGTCTCCGTCCTTTACACTCTGCGCCCCGTCCTCCTCTAGTGAGGGCTCCTCCTTGAGCCCCCACGAGTGCAGTAGTCGGTGCTCCTCTCTGTCGCTCCCTGACCACCCTTTTAGCCCCCCCAAAAAAAATATTGGGGCTGTCTCTCCTTCTCCACCCTGATCCCTTTCAGGGCTTCCATCTGCCTTGCCAGATCCTCTCTTATCTCCCGCCAAGTCCATCCTCTCTGCTCCTCCTGGGCACGCTGCTTGGTCCATTGGTGGTGGGATCTTCTGTCACGTACGTTAAGAGACGGGTTGGACCAAGGTGCAGCGTGAAAGGCGTACATGTTTATTTAACTAATAAACACACGACACAATAACCAAAATAACAAACTTAACCGTGACGGTCCAAAGGGCTAACACACAAGCCTAAACAGGAACACAACAAGATCCCACAACACTGGCAGGAAAACTGGCTGCCTAAGTATGATCCCCAATCAGAGACAACGAGCGACAGCTGCCTCTGATTGGGAACCACACCCGGCCAAACATAGAAATACATACCTAGAATATTCACACCCTGACCAAACTAGCCTAGAGTTCTATAGGCCAGGGCGTGACAAGGGGGATGAATACTTTTGCAAGGCGCTGTAGATTTCTCAATTTCTTTCTTAGGTTTTTGCAAGTTTACACCTTCACTATTACAGTGAAACGTTTTGTCCAGGAAGTTGTCTAAAAGGGATTGAATTTGTTGTTGCCTAATAGTTTTTTGTTAGGTTTCTACACTACTTTCCTTCCATCTTTAGCATGTCTTAATATTATTCAGTTCCTTTGGCTTTGATGCCTCTTTATTGAGTGTTGCTCTGTTCAAGTAGACTGTGATTTTGTTGTAGTCTGATAGGGGTGTCAGTGGGCTGACTGTGAATGCTCTGAGAGACTGGGTTGAGGTCAGTGATAAAATAGTCTACAGTACTACTTCCAAGAGATGAGCTATAGGTGTACCTACCATAGGAGTCCCCTCCAAGCCTGCTGCCAAGAGATGAGCTATAGGTGTACCTACCATAGGAGTCCCCTCCAAGCCTGCTGCCAAGAGATGAGCTATAGGTGTACCTACCATAGGAGTCCCCTCCAAGCCTGCTGCCAAGAGATGAGCTATAGGTGTACCTACCATAGGAGTCCCCTCCAAGCCTGCTGCCAAGAGATGAGCTACAGGTGTACCTCCCTCCAGGTAGGTGTTTGTCCCCCTGTGTGTTGAGGCTGTCAGGTTCTTGTCCAGTTCTGGCATTTAGGTCGTCATAGACTAGTACATGTCCCTGGGTTTGGAAATGATTGATCTCCCCCTCAAGGATGGAGAAGCTGTCTTTATTACAGTATGGGGATTCTAGTGGGGGGATATAGGTAGCACACAGGACATATTTCTCTGTTGAGATCATATCCTTTTTAATTTCTAGCCAAATGTAAAATGTTCCTGTTTTGATTAATTTAATAGAGTGAGTTAGGTCTGCTCTATACCAAATTAGCACACCCCCTGAGTCCCTTCCCTGTTTCACACCTGGTAGTTTGGTGGATGGGACTACCAGCTCTCTGTAACCTAGAGGGCAACCAGTGGGTCCGTCTCCTCTATACCATGTTTCTTGAAGGATGACAATGTCTGTATTTCCATTTTGATCAAGTCTGGGTTCCTGCTCTTTAGGCCAAGGGCAGATGACCTCAGGCCTTGTATATTCCTTGTATATTCTCTCTCATTCTTAGTCTCTTTGTCTCTCTCTCTCAATCCTTCTTTCTCTCTCTCTCCTCTCTGTCCTCTCTCTCGCTCTTTCTCTCTCTCTCGCTCACTATCTCCTGCTCACACATTTGTTTTTCTCTCTATCACACACACGTTCTCTTTAGGCCAGCTGTTTACCAAGAGACATTCTGTTTACTTTGTGGATTCAGTCTGAGAGAGATATTCTGAGAGCAGTGAACGTGTGGCTGTGACCGCCCTGTCATCACTGTTTGATATATTTTACTGCAGATAAAAACCGAGTCAACCTGAAGTGTGGGTGTCCGTGTGTCTTTCTTCTGGAGGGATATGTGAAGTTGGTTACAAAATTGGCAAGAAACATTCTGTTTACCAAAATACATTCTGTTTACCAAGAGACATTCTGTTTACCAAGAAACATTCTGTTTACCAAAATACATTATGTTTACCAAGAAACATTCTGTTTACCAAGAAACATTCTGTTTACCAAGAGACATTCTTTTGACATTACTATGTAACAACATGTTAATAACATTTTATTAGAGTAATTACAATGTTGCTACATATGGACATATAATAACTATGAAACCTTTTGATATAAATATTTATTAATGAATACATATTAATCTCCAAGGAGTAGAATATAATGGAAAGCCTATGAGCAGAATGGGTTTGTAATAATTTATGCCAACGCTAACTATGTAGCATATGCTTTATGGTAGTTGGAGAACGATCATGAAAAGGAAATGCGCACTACAGCTTTAAATGAGAGCGTTTGTCGCTGTAGCTGTGCCAAGACCGAGATCTGCCTGCCATCAAATCCGCAAAGACTCGCAGGCTTCACTATCGCCTCCGTTGTGTTGACACAACAGAGCGGAAACAATTCATGCAGCCTACTTTATCGGCGAGCACGGACTAAGTTACATTTTAGTCACCGAGCACGAAGAGCCTGTGGCCTATTACTAATCGATCTAATCGTATTGTGCGTGATAGTTAAATGTTCCAACTTTACGCACGGATAATAGCCTAGGCAACATCAATCCACAGCAAGGCACTTGTTGATTTGAATAGACTTCCTCACAGCCGTCCGCTGCTTGGGAGTACTACTTTGCTTTTTTGGGAGACCTGCGGCTACAGATGGATCCTTCGGGAGGTTGTCATTAGTTTACCCAGGTCGTGTGTTACAGAGACGACTACAGAAGGCGATGATCCTCGGCTTTTAAGAGGTGGACCGCCCGGCAGCGTCCTCAACATCATCACTATCTGCTACCGGGGGAGGGGGCATGGGCAACCAGGTGGATAAAATTAAACTGTCACATCTAAGTTACGCAGAAGTTCCCACAGTGGACCCCAACGGACTGGACACTGAGGAGGGTCCTCGAATCGGAGTGTCTTATATTTTCTCAACCGATGACGAGGAACAGGAGGGCGAAAACAGTAACGTAGATGGAGCGGATAAAGAGCACCACACTGGAACGGAACAGAAACACTACGACAAGCGAAACGAGGTGGAGTGCGCGGTTTACCACCGGGAGGAATGTATTTACGAGAAGAGCGTCAAGACCGCGGACATGGAAATATATTCTCCCGAGAATTTATTAAACAAATGCAAGGCAGGTGACCTGGTGGAGTTCGTAACAACGGGGCAGTACCCCCACTGGGCGGTGTATGTTGGGGACTTCCAGGTGGTGCACCTGCACAGAGCGGAGGTAAAGAACAGCTTCCTGACAGACGCCAGCCAGGGAAGGAGATGTAGGATAGTCAACGAGCTGTATAAATTCAAAGCCCTCAGCGCCGAGATGGTGGTTCAGAACGCCATGGAACAGGTTGGCGCTAAAGACAGAGAGTTGAGCTGGAGAAATTCAGAGTGCTTTGCCGCTTGGTGCAGGTTTGGCAAACGGGAGTTCAAAATGGGTGGGGAGATCCGGATAGGAAAACAGCCATACAGGTTAAAGATCCTGATGTCAGATAAACAGTCTCAAATGCTGGAGTTTCAGTGTTTAGAGGACTTGATCATGGAGAAGAGGAGACACGACCAGGTGGGAAGGACATCAGTGGTCCAGGAGCTGGCCAATCATTTGAACAGTGTGGAAGAGATCAAAAGTGATCCACTCAGTGATTCAATAACTGCACAGGTTACTCAGTGATCTGCTGGATTTAAGATGATGATGTCCCTTTCCTATCCAATCACAGACCACTATCTAAGTGGAGTTCCAAACACACGTTTTGATGAATAGAATCAAAATCGCACATTCATGTCTGTGTTTTTTGATTGATGGAAGAAAAATAGTCTCAAAGGAGCAGAATATGATTTGTTCATGTTGATGTTTCATAATGATTTATATGATAATATACTGTACATGTTTATATGTCTCACCCAGGAAACTGTCATACATACATACCTCTAGCCCTGAGGTTATGTCATTCTAATGAAAACATGTTGTAGAGTATTGGTTGATCAATCATCTAGCTTATTGTACCGTACCAATAATTTGAGTCAAGTAAATGATCATTACATCTTTGCAATCGAACTGGCTTTTATTCCTTGCTGTCTACAGGTGCTGTTTCCTCTGACACTATCTCTAGGCCAAAAGGATGCTTCCCAAATGGGACCCTATTCCCCATAGTGCACTACATCTGGCCAGGGCCTAGGGCTCAAAGGTAGTGCACTATGAAGGGGATACGGTGACATTTGGGACATAGCCATAGTCGTTTCATCATTCATGCTCACTTATTTTCTGTTTCCACCTGCTTTACAGTCAGCCTCATATCTCAGAGTACTAGCCTGTTTCCACCTGCTTTACAGTCAGCCTCATATCTCAGAGTACTAGCCTGTTTCCACCTGCTTTACAGTCAGCCTCATATCTCAGAGTACTAGCCTGTTTCCACCTGCTTTACAGTCAGCCTCATATCTCAGAGTACTAGCCTGTTTCCAACTGCTTTACAGTCAGCCTCATATCTCAGAGTACTAGCCTGTTTCCACCTGCTTTACAGTCAGCCTCATATCTCAGAGTACTAGCCTGTTTCCACCTGCTTTACAGTCAGCCTCATATCTCAGAGTACTAGCCTGTTTCCACCTGCTTTACAGTCAGCCTCATATCTCAGAGTACTAGCCTGTTTCCACCTGCTTTACAGTCAGCCTCATATCTCAGAGTACTAGCCTGTTTCCACCTGCTTTACAGTCAGCCTCATATCTCAGAGTACTAGCCTGTTTCCACCTGCTTTACAGTCAGCCTCATATCTCAGAGTACTAGCCTGTTTCCACCTGCTTTACAGTCAGCCTCATATCTCAGAGTACTAGCCTGTTTCCACCTGCTTTACAGTCAGCCTCATATCTCAGAGTACTAGCCTGTTTCCACCTGCTTTACAGTCAGCCTCATATCTCAGAGTACTAGCCTGTTTCCACCTGCTTTACAGTCAGCCTCATATCTCAGAGTACTAGCCTGTTTCCACCTGCTTTACAGTCAGCCTCATATCTCAGAGTACTAGCCTGTTTCCACCTGCTTTACAGTCAGCCTCAGTACTAGCCTGTTTCCACCTGCTTCACAGTCAGCCTCATATCTTATCATACCTTTACAGTCTAAAGCAGGTGAAACAGTTTGAAGGTGGTAAAGGAAGTGAAACAGTGAGTTCTTCACACCAAGACGGCCTGGTCCTTTTCTTGTGACCCCATGATGTTAGTATCTCCTAGGTACTGATCTAGGATCAGCTTCCCCTCCCCCCATCCTATCCTTGATCATTAGTGGGGGGGGGGGGGGGGGGGGATCAGCATCTGGAGGCAACTCCACCGAGAGGTCCCTTTAGTGTTAGTAGAGAGGATGAGGATGCATGGATTCATTCACTGAGTGTTGTGGTGGTTATTCAGGGTTTCTGTAGTTGGGGGAGAGAGCATATGATGTGTAGCATATAGCAGAAATTTGTATTTATTTTCAGTTGGTGCACATTGTGCCAGCCAGTCAGTCAGTGTTATATGGATGGTTATATCTGTCTTTACTGTCAGCTGCTAAACAGTATGTGGAGGCTTCTCAGGGATTGACCTGAAGGGTTGCCCTATTGCCTGGGGCAGGTGAACTGAGAAGTCGGAAAGTTGAGCCTGCTCTGAGGTTGTCCCAGCTAATAAAAAATACAAATAAACTGCAAAGGATTCCTGTAGGCCTAACCTAAAACGGATCTTTCTGATCTTTCATTTTTAAGTCATAGACAAACAATTTCTAGAATGTTGGTATCTGGGCAAGTTGAGCCTTCTCTGTGGTTTCCCCATTAGGAATTACAGTAGCCTAAAATAGTGGCTACACACACGCAGTTTCTTTAGCTGCTATTTACATTACAGTATTAATCTGCTATTTAGAACGTTTTAATAAAAAATGACACAACAACTAATGTGAAGACGAAAAAAGTAGTTGTCTTAAATGTAGCCCCTATTTACTGCTGAACTCAGTGGGGGCTTAAATGTAGCCCCTATTTACTGCTGAACTCAGTGGGGGCTTAAATGTAGCCCCTATTTACTGTTGAACTCAGTGGGGGCTTAAATGTAGCCCCTATTTACTGTTGAATTCAGTGGGGTTTGTCTAACTAATAGCTAACTTGATAAGGGAAAATTTACATTTAATCAATTTTAGAACAAGGTTGTAACGTAACAAAAGTCAAGGGGTCTGAATACTTTCTTACTTACTCATTGTTTTTCTTCCTCCAGTAAAACTCATTGGGGGGGGGGGGGGGGGGGACGCAAATAGTCTGGATAGCCATGATTAGCTTGTCAGGAGTCTTATGGCTTGGGGGTAGAAGCTGTTAAGAAACCTTTTGGACCTAGACTTGGCGCTCCGGTACCGCTTGCCGTGCGGTAGCAAAGAGAACAGTCTATGACTAGGGTGGCTGGAGTCTTTGAGAATTTTTAGGGCTTTCCTCTGACACCGCCTGGTATAGAGGTCGTGGATGGCAGGAAGCTTGGCCCCAATGATGTACTGGGCCATACGCACTACCCTCTGTAGTGCCTTGCGGTCAGAGGCTGAGCAGTTGCCATACCAGGCGGTGATGCAACCAGTCAGGATGCTCTCGATGGTGCAGCTGTATAACTTTTTGAGGATCTGAGGACACATGCCAAATCTTTTCAGTCTCCTGAGGGGAAATAGGCTTTGTCGTGCCCTTTTCATAACTGTCTTGGTGTGTTTGGACCATGATGGTTTGTTGGTAATGTGGACACCAAGGAACTTGAAGCTCTCAACCTGTTCTCAACCTGTTCCACTACAGCCCTGTCGATGAGAATGGGGGGTGCTCAGTCCTCTTTTTTTCCCTGTAGTCCACAATCATCTCCTTTGTCTTGGTCATGTTGAGGGAGAGGTTGTTATCCTGGCACCACACGGCCAGGTCTCTGACCTCCTCCCTATAGGCTGTCTCATCGTTGTCGGTGATCATGCCTACCAGAAAAATTACTGTTATACTATTCCAGGTATTCCTTAAAGAGGTAGGGTTTCAAGTGTCTCTGGAAGGTGGTCAGTGACTCAGGTGTCCTGGCATCGTGGGGGAGCTTGTTCCACCATTGGGGTGCCAGAGCAGCGAATAGCTTTGACTGGGCTGATCAGGAACTGTGCTTACGTAGAGGTAGGGGGGCTAGCAGGCCAGAGGTGGATGAACGTAGTGCCCTCGTTTGGGTCTGATCAGAGCCTGAAGATAAGGAGGTGCCGTTCCCCTCACAGCTCCATAGGCAAGCACCATGGTTTTGTAGTAGATGCGAGCTTCTACTGGAAGCCAGTGGAGTGTGCGGAGGAGCGCGGTGACATGAGAGAACTTGGGAAGGTTGAACACCAGACAGGCTGCAGCGTTCTGGATAAGTTGTAGGGGTTTAATGGCACAGGCAGGGAGCCCAGCCAAACAGCGAGTTGCAGTAATCCAGATGGGAGATGACAAGTGCCTGGATTAGGACCTGTGCCGCTTTTTGTGTAAGGTAGGGTCGTACTCTCCGAATGTTGTAGAGCATGAACCTGCAGGATCAGGTCACCTCTTTGATGTTAACAGAGAACGACAGGGTGTTGTCCAGGGTCACGCCAAGGTTATTTGCACTCTGGGAGGAGGACACTATGGAGTTGTCAACCGTGATGGCGAGATCATGGAGCGGGCAGTCCTTCCCCTTGAGGAAGAGCAGCTCCGTCTTGCCGAGGTTCAGCTTGAGGTGGTGATCTGACTTCCACACTGTTATGTTTGCCAGACATGCAGATATGTGATTCGCCACCTGGTTATCAGAAGGGGGAAAGGAGAAAATTAATTGTGTGTCGTCTGTATAGCAATGATAGGAGAGACCATGGCTTCTGGTCTGGGTAGTATGTACGGTCACTGTGGGGATGACATTATCTATGCACTTATTGATGAAGCCAGTGACTGATGTGGTGTACTCCTCAATGATATCGGAAGAATCCCGGAACATATTCCAATCTGTGCTCGCAAAACAGTCCTGTAGCTTAGCATCTGCGTCATCTGACCACTTCCTTATTAACCGAGTCACTGGTACGTCCTGCTTTAGTTTTTGCTTATAAGCAGGAATCAGGAGGATAGAGTTATGGTCAGATTTGCCAAATGGAGGGCGAGGGAGAGCTTTGTACGCGTCTCTGTGTGTGGAGTAAAGGTGGTCTAGAGTTTTTTTTCCTCTGGTTGCACATTTAACATGCTGGTAGAAATTAGGTAGAACGGATTTAAGTTTCCCTGCATTAAAGTCCCCGGCCACTAGGAGTGCTGCATCTGGATGAGAGTTTTCCTGTTTACTTATGGCCTTATACAGCTCATTGAGTGCAATCTTAATGCCAGCATTGGTTTGTGGTGGTAAATAGACAGCTATGAAAAATATAGATGAAAACTCTCTTGGTAAATAGTGTGGTCTACAGCTTATCATAAGATACTCTACCTCAGGCGAGCAAAACCTCGAGACTTCCTTAGTATTTGATTTTGTGCACCAGCTGTTGTTTACCAATATACACAGACCGCCACCCCTTGTCTTACCAGAGTCAGCCGTTCTATCCTGCAGATGTAGCGTATAGCCCGCTAGCTGTATGTTGTCCATGTCGTCGTTCAGCCACGACTCTGTAAAACATAAGATATTACAGTTTTTAATGTCCAGTTGGTAGGATAAGCGTAATCGTAGGTCATCTAATTTATTTTC